AAAAAAAAAAAAAAAAAATCATCATCATCACGCATGAATACGTCCGGTATGTTGTACAAAAGGAAAAGAGTTGATTTTATTTATAAATCTCTATCAAGATTATTTATAAATCTCTGTACGCCACAATTATTTTTAGTTAAACTTTTATTCGATGGATATAAATAAGGAGAAGGTGTTATACACAGGGTGGGCCAAAAGTTTCTTCCCACACAGTTTCTTTTTCTTCTTAATAAAACATCAAAATATAAGAAAAAAAAAACTAATTCTATTAATTTTCAGTTAAATTTAAGTTCAAGCTACGTTTTCAAAAATTATTTATTTTCTAATAAAATTATTCAGTATGGATTTATTTCAGTAGGAAGTGACTTTTGGCCCACAAGTATGTCTGCAATTCAGCACTGTACCGAAAGTTTTTTTATTAATTTATTTCGAGGACTAATAAATACCCGTGATCAAAATTTTGCACTTGGAATTCCCCAGCCCCTCGAAATTTCACCACTAGCCCGCCACCGAGATCATTTATAACTACAACCATATATCATTTTATTAAATAATTAATTATTAATCGTATGTATATAAACTTTTATTTTACGTTTGCAACTCTGCAAATTAAAATATTGTTCCCTCTGTGCTTTATATACGTTCAACACAGCTACAAACTATGTTTGCACAACATTTTACTTCTCTTTTTTTATATTCTTAAAGGTTGATGAAAAAAGAAAGGGAGAAAAGATGGGGGAACACCCAGCATGCGCAAAAGAGTTTACACTTGCGTGCACGTATAACGCAAACGCGTGGAATATAACCTTTTCCCTTATTCGTGACCTCAGCAGGAATATGTGGCAACTCGGTAGGAATATGTTTAAAGATTGTACACGAGGCATTGCCCTGTCTGGCATGGTCACCAACGAGCTATACTGGGAAGTGACAGAGGAAAGAAGAAAAAAAAAAACAACAGAAAAACACGACCCCCTCGGAGTGTTCTGGAACATGCGTTGGCCAGCCTGCTAGATGGTTCTATCGCGCGCAGCCCAGCTGACAACCCAATCAGCTGTAAACGTACACAAAAGCGTCGTCCAACAGGTCCACCACGGCGGATGCGTTCATAAAAATAGAAAACCCTATGCACTTTTTTCGCAAAATATCCGACCACAACGACAGGGTTTAAAAAAAAAAAAAAAAAA